TACATATATACATATATACATATATACATATATACATATATACATATATACATATATACATATATACATATATACATATATACATATATACATATTACATGTCTTTTATTAGAAGACTGGTACGTGAGGGGGATTAATTAGGTGAATAGGTACAATCATTCCTCTTGGGTGCTTTCAAATTGATGCTGACTCATCGTGATCCCATGTGACAGAAGAGAACTGGGTTTTCAAGTCTGTAAATAAATATTTACAGAAATAGATTGCCGGATCTTCCCTAAACCACTCCATTCAAAATCAGCTGGTGGATTCGAAGCATCAACCTTTCCGTGCTTCAAAGGCCAAACCTTCATCCTGTATTTTTATTCTGGCAGCTCTTTCCCCTGAGGTTCAATTCATTTTGCGCCGCCAAGGGGAGCAAAGGAGAACCTGAGACTACAATTCCCAGGAGGCACCAAGGCTAGCTTCCTCAGCACAGGGGGCTTTGGTGCCGCGAAGTCTCATGGGAAGTGTAGTCCCCCGGCTCTGGGACCCGGGTCGGGAGGTACCTGTATCAGGAGGCGGAGCAGCTGCTCTTTGGAGAACGGGATGAAGCGCTCGCGGTACTGCTCGGCCCAGTTGCGGGGCTCTGTGGGGTTCCACATCTTGCGATACTCCCCCATCTTGGCCGCCAGCGATGACAGGACCCGGGGGGATCCGAGGAGTGCAGGCCAGACTCGAACCCTGGACCCCCAGACCCCCCGGGCCACGTGCAGCATGGCTAGACACTTTCTTTGGACCCTAAAAGAAAGGAATGGGCAGGGATCAAAGGTCATCTCCAGGAAAAGTATTCTTTCACCTCCACTTCCCCACCTCAAAGGATTTAAAGCTCATCCTCCCGGCCAAGCTGTTCCTCAATCTGTCTGTCCCCACTCATTCTGTTCTGTTGCCCAGGATTCCAGACAGGGGTCAGAGGTCATTACGTTCAGAGGTGTTTTGTGGGCCCAGAGAACCAGGAGGTGTACATTTGGTTTCAGTAGGCCTTGAGGCAGATGTTGGGAATATATGCGACGTTCGGAAAAGCTACATCGGGGGTGCAGGGCCGCCCTCCCAGGGCCATGCAATCCCCCACCCTAGCCCTCACCTTAGCCAACGGTGGACTGTCATTGAGCTTCCCGCGCATGCGCACAAAATGCGGGCTTGAGCCACTGAGGGTCGGCTTCACATAGCCGACAACGCATGCGCTACGCGTGTAGGACATTAGGGGCCTCCCGTGCTTTGCTATCGCCCTATAGCAACTGCACATGCGTGACCGCCTTGCCTTTTCGCCACGTCTAGCTGCTTTGGGATGTAGCGCATGCGCTGCAACAGTGTCTCCTTGGCCGCGGACCGCAAAGGGAAAGGAGAGGAGAGGGCGCGCGAGAGGCTCGGGAGGGCGGGGCGGGGCAGGGCTTTCGCGTGCCTCCAGCCAACGGCGAGCCGCCTAACGTCTGCTGAGGCCACGCCCCCTGCCTGTCCGCGCCTGGGTGGGCGGGGACACGACAAAGGGGCGGGGTTTATTAGCAACCAATCAGCTCTGCAGGGGCGGAAAGGCGGGAAAAAGCGGAACCAAAAGCAGGTTGCGGTGGCTCCAGGGTCCAGAAAGCGAAAGGACCCGTCGAAGGAGTCTTGACTTCCGGTCAGCTCATCGGCCCTTGAAAGTAGAGGTGGCCCTTTGTCGGGCAACGTCACCCAAACTCCATCACCCTTATTCCACGTCCTTAAAGAGGAGACCCCGATTTTAAGAAGGTAGCGGTGTGCCCTGGGTATGTCCTCCTGATGCTAAGGGGACACCTCTCTTCTGAAGCCATGTTCGCCTCCAATCTAAGATCCAGACCCCTAACCGGAGGAAGTGCGCTTATTTAAAGATGGAGCTGGATGCTCGTGGGACGTCCTTCCATATTCTAGATAAATGACCCCCAAGTCTCAAAGACACCCCAAAATAATATCCTGAGATGCCTTGGTCCCCTAGACGCTAAAAGGAATTTCTGCAGTTCCAGCTTACCGAGGGTCGGGTCTCTATTGTCGCGCCCGTTCAGAAAACCCCACCTGCTTTCTTACAGAGGCCCCCCCCCCCCGATCTCTCTGATCAAGGGCATGGCCCCCAAATATTCCCTCCTCTTCCCACCTCCTTACTGTCCACTTCCATCTGTGGGACCCCAGCAACCCCTTCTCTGCACAACCAAGGCCTTCAGGTCCCTGGCAGTGATCTCACCCTGCACCCCAACTCCTGGGACCCCCAGGAGTCCCTTCACTCTGTGCCCTGTTTTTTTTTTTAAATCCCTGCGTCAGACTCTTTACTCCTGCACTCCACATTTCTTGGACCCCCAACAGTCTGCTCTCTGCACCCCTATCTCTGCAAACCCCAATAGCCCTCTCACCCCACTCATGGGACCCCAAGAGCAGGTTGCTTACCAAATAGCCTGACTCCTAAAATATGGAAGCCCTGTTCCCCTAAACTTACTTATTATTTGGGTCTCCAAGCAGCCTTTTCACTTGCACCCCTTACCTTTGGGGACCTCACTTTCTTCCTCTCCATATCCCTCTCCTGTGTACTACTTTCCCTGAGTCCCCAACATCCCTCTGGCCCACACCCCTGACTCTAACATGGCACCCTGTCTCTTGGCTTGCAGCCACTGTGTCCCGGGGGCCCTGGGGCATCTGACCCCCCAGCAGGCAGCACCCAGCATCCCTGTCTGGAAGGAGAGTGAACACCATGCACATCCCAGAAAGTCTCCAGGACCTGGCCGACAGCGAGGCCGTGCATTTCCTCAAGAGGCCAAAGACCACAGGGCGGATCCTGGCAGGGGTGAGGTCTCCCCGGGGTCCCACTTTCCTGCTCGCTGGGTGACAAAAGTTTGAAAGAGACACAGGGTGGGACAGAGTGGGAAAAGGGGGGTGGGTAAAGAAGGAAAGAGCTTTTCACTATGCGCCCAACCACTGGCCCTGAGCTCTAACGTGGTGATCACTCACCCTTGACCACTCAGATTCATGGTGACCCCAAGTGTGTAAAGTAGGATGATTCCAGGCCTTTAAAGCTGTAACCTTCCAGTAGCAGATCTCCAGTTTTGCCTTTCAAGGCTCCTTGAGTGGGTTCAAACTGCCAATTCTCAGCTAACCTTTTGAGGCACCTAGGGATGCGTTGCTCTTTCAAACCAAACTGATTCTTTTTTTTTTAAAACTTTATTATTTGAGTGTACCGTCAAATCAGATCTGACTGGTACAGGAGGGGATTGTCCCTCCTTCCCCAGCAGAGCATCTGGTGGATTTGAACTGTGTGCCTCTGGGACCAAACTGACTCTTGTTATATGCCATCAAGTCAGAAACCACCCACTGTTGGTTTTCAGAGACAATAAATTGCTCGGGAAAAGATTGCCCTTCTTTCTTCCCTAGAGCAGCTGGTGGATTTGAACTGAGTACCTTTGGGTTGGCAGCACAAGCTCTTACCACTAAGCTACCAGAGCTCCCTTAAACCCAATGTAATCCGTAGAGTTGGGCTGGTAACCCAAAGGCCATGCCTCTGGTTGGAATCTGCCAGCAGCTTCGAGGGAGAAAGATGGGCATTCATTTCCTGTGTGATTTATAGCCTCTAAACTCTTTGGAAGGTCGGCCGTGAATTGGTTCTGATTCGATGGCAGTGAGGGAGAGAGAGAGAGACTGATGTCAAGTTGATCGTGATGCACAGTAACTCTGCAGGGCAGAGCAGAACTGCCCACAGTGTATCCAAGGCTGTAAATCTTTCCTGGAGCAGACGGCCCATCTTTCTCCTGAAGAGCGGCTGCTGTGTTGGAATTGCTAACCTTTTGGTTAGTAGATGAATGCCTAACACAGCTCCTTTTGCTCTTCTAAAACCCACTTCCTCCAGGCCATTTTGACTCCTGAACCCTCTGTTGGGTTTCCAAGGCTGTAAAGCTCCATGGAGACTTCCCATATTATCAGCTCTGATTGTGGCATCAGGATTGGAGGAAGACTCATCAACAGTCTGCGATATGCAGATGACACCACCCTGCTTGCTGAAACTGAGGAGGACCTGAAGCGCTTGCTGTGGAAGGTCAAGAACTGCGGCCTTCAATATGGATTGAAGCTCAACATCAGGAAAACAAAGATTCTCACCACTGGGCCGATTGACAGCATCATGATAGATGGTGGAGAGATTGAGGTTGTTGACAGCTTCAGTTTGCTTGGCTCCACAATCAGCACTCTTGATACCAGCAGCCAGGAAATCAAAAGACAAATTGCATTGGGAAAGTCAGCTGTCAGAGACCTCTCCAAGGTACTGAAGAGCAACGATGTCAGTCTGGTGACTAAAGTGTGCCTGATACAGGCCATGGTCTTTCCAATTACTTGCTATGCATCAAAGAGGTAGATAATGACTAGGGATGATAGAAGGAAAGTAAATGCCTTTGAGCTGTGATGCTGGAGAAGAGTATTGAGTATACCACAGACTGCTAGGAGAACAAATTCATCCTGGAGAGGGTGAAACCAGGCTGCTCCTTGGAGGCAAGGATTCTGAAGCTTCATCCGACATAATTTGGACATGTTTCAAGATGGAATCAGTCCTTGGAGAGGGACTTGGGAGGGTGGATGGATAGCACAAGACAGGAAGACCCTCTATGAGGTGGATTGACTCAGTGACTGGTGTAGTGGGGATAAGTGTGTCAGAGAAAATAAGCTTGGCAAGGGATAGAGCAGGATTTAGGGCTGTTGTACATAGGGTCACTATGAGTCGCAGGTAACTCGACGGCACATAACAACAATAACTGTGACAAACAACCCTCTGAATTAGGTGCCAGGTGTCTCATTTTTTGAGATGAGAAAACTGAGTGTCACAGAAATTTGTTTGTTTCTTCTTTTTGTCTTGTTATGTACCATCAAGTCAGATCTAACTGGCACAGGAGGACATTGTTCCTCCTTCTCCAGCGGAGCATCTGGTGGATTCGAACCATGCACCTTCAAGATTGCAGCACAACTTCTTGCCACTAGGCCACCAGAGCTCCCTTTGGATTTTTTTTTTACATTTTTATTGTATTATTTTTACATGTACCATCAAATCAGATCTGACAGATACAGGAGGAGATTGCCCCCTCTTTCTCCAGCAGAACATCTGGTGGATTTGAACCGAGTACCTCTGGGATTGCAGTGCAGCGTCTTGCTGTTTGGATTTTTTAAGGCTATTCTAGCAGGGTAGCCATCAGGGCCACGTGACTATTGATATATTTCAGTTCATTAACGTTGAAAATTTACGCTCTCAGTTGTACTGGCCACAGGTCGTGTGCACCAGTGGGCAGTGGCTCTCCTTGGGACCTTGTGGATTTAGGAAACCAGCAGCATGGTTAGAAAGTTCCATGGGACAGTGGCGAGGTCAGGCAGGAAGTGGCGGAGTGGAGGGAGGCACAGCTGGTCAGGGAGACACCGGGCTGGGGCTCGCTCCCTTGAGCCCACCTCTCAGACAAGGCTCAGGTGGGAAGTGAAATTGGATGCACACCTGAAATAACAGTCCAGGAGGTTCTCACTGTCCGAGCCCAGGGCCTCTCGCACATCCACGCCTTCATCACGGCACCTTCCTGACAAACCTCGCTGGGGCCTTGGTTGAACATTCAGCTTCTAACCAAAAGGCCGACAGTTCAAATCCACCCAACACATCCCTTTGCCATCGAGTGGAATCTGAGGCACAGCCGCCCCGTAGGACTGTGTCGAGCTGCCCCGTCGGGCTTCCAAGGCTGCTGATCCTTCCAGACGCCGATGGCCACAGCTTTCTCCCAAGGAGCCACGGGTGGATTTGAACCACTAACCATGGAGAACGTGAGCCACTACCCACAGGGGCCCCACTGGAGAACAACCTGTCAATCTGCTTCTGTAATGATTGACAGCCTTGGGAACTGGATGGGGCAGTTCTCTGTCACCAGGAGTCAGAATCGACTCCCCATAGGAGGATTTAGATAGCAAAAGGAGCCCTGATGGTGTAGTGGTTAATCATGTGGTTGCTATCCAGAAGGTCAGCAGTTCAAGCCTCTCCATGGAGGCACACGGTGTGACAGTCTGCTGGAAAGATTTACAGCCTTGGAGACCCATGGGCAGTTCTTTTTATTTATTATTATTATTATTATTTATGTGTGTACCATCAAATCGAATCTGACTGGTACAGGAGGAGATGGTAGAGCATCTGGTGGATTTGAACCATGCACCTCTGGGATTGCAGTGCAGCTTCTTGCCACTAGGCCACCAGAGCTCGCCTATTATTGTTATTCATTTTCATGAACATTTACAGAGACTTTGGATTTCCATTCATTCATGGTTGCACTTTTCTCCCTGCCCACTCCTCCCCCCCCCCAATTCGCTCTTCTCTTTGAAAAGTAAAAGAAAAATTCCTTCATTGGTATACAATCCCCCGCCCCCTTCCCCCTTGGGTAGTTCTAGTGGCCGCAGAGTTGCCACGAGTTGGGATCATGTTGGCTGTAATGGGTTTTGATTTGCTGGGAGTGTTTCAAATGGTCAGTGTGTTTGGATGCTGTCTGAAAAGTTGATGGTTCTTATCTACCTAGAGGGACCTCAGAAGAGAAAGGTTCACTTTTTTTTAAAAACACCAGCCAGTCCTTGAAAAGAGCTGTACTCTGACATGTGAGAGTCCATGGTTGTTAAGGGCTGTTGAGTCAAGTGTAACCCATAACTACGCTATGAACAACAGATCTGAACTCAGTCCTATTCTGTGACCTCCTCACACTTGCTGACACATTGGAGGCCTTTGTAGCAGTCACCGTGTCCATCCACTTGGTCAAGGATCTTCCTCTTCTTCGCCAACCCTCCACCTTTCCAAGCATCACGTCCTTCTCCAAGGAATAACCCCTCCTAGAAATTTGCCCAAAGTATGTGAGATGAAGCTTTGTCATCTTGGCCTCCAAAGAGCCCTCTGGCTGCACCCTCTCCTGGACATATTTGTTTGTTCTTTTGGCCGTCCGTGGGCTGTTCAGCACTCTTCTCCAACGTCATAGTTCAAAGACATCAACTCTTCTTCTGTCATCCTTATTCATTGCCCAGCTCTCAGATGCATAGCAAGTGATCAGCCCATCAGGCCTGAATCAGATGCACCTTAGTCCTCAAACTGACATCATTGCTCCTCAGTAATGTGCAGGCTTTCCCAGTGCAATATGGCTTCTAATTTCCTGGCTGCTGATACCAAGGGTGTTAATAGTGGATCCAGGTTAAGATGAACTTGCTGGCTTTTCTCTATCTATTATGACGTTGCCTCTCAGTCCAGTGACAAGAATCATTGTTTTCTTGGCAATGAGATGCAATCTATATTGATGGCTGTTTTCTTGGATTTTCTGCAACAAGTGCTTCAAGTCCTTCTCCCTTTCAGCAGGCAAGGTTGTGTCATCTGCATAACGCAGGTTGTTGATGAATCTCCCTCTGGCCCAGATGCCTCATTCTTCTCCGGAGAGTCCAGCTTCTTGAATAATTTGCTCAGCATACAGACCGAATAGGTATTGGAGAGAGAATACAACCCTGACACGCTCCCTGCTTAATTTGAAACCATCTAGGAGTGTTCCCTTGTTCTGTTCACACAAATACCTCCTGCTCTACGTGTAGGTTTCGCGTGAGCACAATTAAGTGACCTGGGATTCCCATTCTTGGCAGTACGAATTTGTGATCTTGTCCCTTCAAAGATGTGGTCGTCTTAAGCCTCCAAGCCAGAGAGTTTCGGCTGAGTACCGTCGAGTTGGAACTGACCCATAACTGACCCCTCTAACAGGTTTTTAGAGGTGGTAAATCTCGTAGGTGGAGAATTGTCCATCTTTCTCCTGAGAAGCC